CCATCCGGTGTCTACTCAGCGAACATGGTTTGAGGCAAATTGAAACCAAAGTTTTTGGTTCTCAGTTGAGACAGATCGACCGTGCCTTGCAAACATCTGTCCAGCTTAACGACGACGTTGTAACAGTTCTGGCCTTATACTTCCCCACTGTATAGTCCATGATAATAAGTCGCCGATTAACTTTTGACACCAAGCAAACAAGGCAACTCACTCGAGCAGTCGCTTCCCTCTCACCTCACCTTTTTAACTACGTCCAGTTCAACCTCTTTCTTCAACTGTACAGATATACTTCGCAGTAGTCAACTAACATAGACTTCCAATACCTAATTTAGCAATTAATGGCTACACAGATCAACCCAAGCTCAACTCTCAATTCAAACCTGTAAAATACAACGAATATAAATGATTACAAAAAATCTTACATAAGCATGGCAGAACCCTCAACACCTCGTAAGGTCCCACCCAAAACAGAACTAGACGTAGTTAAACTGTCAAGTGTCCACGTACCAAAACTTTTCTGTTACAGTCACAAAGTAGTAGAACAATAACAGAAACTTATGATGCTGAGGAGCTCGAGCGGGTTATGAATCCGCCCAATCAGGAGAATGAAACGTACCAACCCATAGCTTTGCAAACCGCAGCTGTCCCACCAAAAACTACATATTCCACTGAGTGCGACTAGGATTAAACTCCTTGCCTACTCTTCTCGTAACAAAAAACCTACCATCCCTACCCTTTACGTTAAACTCAGATTATCACTAAAGACCCCCCGTTGCCAGTCCGTCTTAGTTCAATAAACACCGTCCTTGACGAACTGCAACCAAGGTTTCCTGTTCAAACAGACGGTTCCCCTCCAATAACCCGCCCATGCAGGCCAAATCCACACAGAAGCCTGTATGTGGTCCTGACAGCAATGGCACTGAATCTTTTGACTCACCATCTCCTTCCGCATGTCCATCCCAGACAGCCGATAAATGCGTCGACCAACTCCGACAGTCGCTTTCCCTTCTCACACCATAGATAATACGTAAACCAAGGCCTCCTTTCTGCTTTGATTCTTCTAAAGTTTAAAGGCCACTTGACAAGCAACCTACTGCGTGTTTTTCACTGACAAGAAGTCACCGTTAACTTAATCGTGTCTTTTTAAACAAAACTATTCCCTATTTCTTTACCCCGCCAGTTTCAGCCCGACATTTCGTTTGTAGGCACGTGAACTAGCAGACCCCGACCAACGGAAATACTTCGCAACAGCCGAAAAGCCTAGGGTTTCTTTTCTTAACCTAGAAATTACAAATCCAATTAATAGACTAAAAATTAACTTGCAAGCCATACCTATAATGTAGCAATAAACTATATGAACTTTATCAAAAAAGTCAAAAACGATCAGAAATCAAAAATAAGAACGAAGTAGGGGTTTTCCAGAGTTCTCATGAAAAAAGACTAGAAAAAACTAAGCCTTCTACTAAAAATTCTTGTGTAGGTCCTTTTTGACTCATAATTCTTACACAGTGAGGAAAAATGCAACGTAAAACTGTCAGCCATGAAGAATATGACCTTAAGCAATAAATTTTAAAATCTCAACTTCGAACAAGGAAAAAGTTGAAAGCTATTACTCTTTTCTTTTTTTCTGCATGGGCTACCGGTGTCAAAATTATGGCCGCCAAAAGCTGTTTGATAAACCAAAAAGTTGTAAGGATTTTGGGGACGACCACAAACAAAAATACGCACTCTTAAGCACAGCACCTATATATATATATATATATATATATATATATATATATATAATATATATATATATATATATATATATATATATATATATAAACTATATATATATATATATATATATATATATATATATATATCCTGGAAAACCGCAGCACACAATTCCAGGGAAAGAACAACAAGTTGAACCTGTGCTACCAAAACTTTAACAAGTACACTATAGACATAATTCTAAAGGTTTAGACATTACCAAATACAAGAAGTAGAAAACACTAGAATGGAAAGTACTTTAGACGATCCTGCAGGATGAATCTGTTAATATTTTGAAGTAAAATACAACTTTCGTAACAAATTCCAACGTTTAAAGCATACCGGACTTGTACAGCGCTGTCTGAGACTTTGAAAAGCGGCTCAGGGCGATTTCGTCATGTAAAAAACTTGCGACTGCTCTAAAAACGGCACGTTTTCCTCAGTTCAATATTTCTTTCCCGCTAGTAACTCTCGCTATCAAAAAATTGCCATCACCGGAATTTGACACGTCGCAAGGCAAAAACCCCCCACAAAAACATGTCATTTTTATAAAATTTAGAGAAATTTTTTTTTTAAAAATTATTTTTACTGAACCTATGTGATTTTCTATCAGAACTAAAAAATTTAATATACGTTTAATCAACCAGGAAATGAGAAATCTTATAAATAAAAACCGTTACATTTTATTAAGAAGCTAAATTACAAGTCTGCAAAAGTGAGTTTGTCGAACAGCAACCCTACAAATTTTGCAAATTTGAGAGGGTGTACCTTGGTGGGGAATTCACTTTTCCAAGGTTCTTTTTTGGCTTTTCATATACTGCCCCGGACTCTACTAATCAGGAAATTTAAAAAAATCTGAGATATGAACGGAAAAAAGTGTGCGATTAGGTATGGAATGGCCCATATATATATATATATATATA